AAAGCCACTAAAAGAGATTAACATCAAACTGATTGTAAGTACAAGCTAAGTTCTCGGATATGACAAAAACATGAACTGTGTACGTGTAACCAAGTATACATCAAGAGGTAAAGACGGAAGCATCTGGTGACAAAAAGCTAGAAGGAGCATCCCTGTAATGTAGAGTTAATTAAATGAAGACAGTTTCCACAAGGAAATCTGGATTTCGTTTCATTTCATGGAGAAAATAAGCGTTCGTAATGTCTGAATATTCTCTTGTTAAACAGTCGGTTAGTGCGTGTGATGTTTATATTCTTTCCATTGTTAATTCATCTTTATACCTATAATACTAAAGATCTAAAACTATTAGGTGAAATGGCAAATTACATTTCTTGATAAAAAATGAGCAATTACATTTGTTAGCTGTATTCATATAAGCTAAAAACTAGAATATTCAAATAAAATAATTCGAAGTGGTCTGTATTCTGTCGAAACTGCCAGACGCGGATCGCGATTTCGATCTTGTTGGATCTTATCAGCGCGTCGCAGACAGCTCCTACAAAACACAGACCAACTTTTACCTGCTGCCTTAACAGCGCGTTTTAGAAAATACCACAAATGGCGTGGTAAACGCCATCTGTAGTACGATGCGTAATAATACGTAATAAACTCAATTTTGATATGTTTCTTTAAAAATTATTTCGAGTTTCTTAATTATTACAATTAAATTTGTAATATCAACTAAAATACCTGGTGAATTTATTTCTGCTAGGATTTTACTTTTACAAATTCGGGTCCAAATTGTAATTTTTATTATTTTAGCTATCGAAGCAACAAGCTAGTGGGATAAATTGTAAATATCGCTTTTATATTTAGGTAAATTTTCGTTTTTCATTTTTTCCGTGCTCTTTTCCACTGTTGAATATAGGGAGGTGATCGGACGACCCCTCGAGGAGCAAAGTGTACTAGTGATTTTTATAACATATGAATATCTAAGATTTCTTTTAATGTTTTAATTCTTCTATTTTAAGGTATACAAGCAAAATAATCTATATTATTTTCGTTTTATTCAAATCTTTATACTGATACTGTTTAATTATGAAGCAAAACTCTGAAAGATATATGTACTATTTCTAAGGATGAGTACTTCTCATTCGTTTGTCTCTTCCGGCTTTCTACATTGTAAGTACAATAAAACAAGATTTGAACTGAACTTTAATCGAACATCTGCAACATCCGATAATATGTTGATAATTATTCTCCTTGACAACTGTTAGAAAGCTAAACGATTTCAATGAAGACTTAAAATTGCTATTCATAAATAATAATTGTTGTGTATATTACTAACACTATTACCATGCTACTATGCAAACAATTTACAATTCACAATCGGCCTTGTGCAACAGGTATTTGCATTAAATGTTAGAGAGAGATTAGAAGACGAAGAAGAGATAGATAAAGAAGGAGATGTGTCTTTTTACGCTGTAAGTGAAAAACAAATGCTGTAAAAGTTACGAAGCCATTTATTCCATCACGACAGCGAAGAAACAATGGGACACAACAACCGACGGTCTTTTAACATTTCGACGACTAATAAATTACGTTCAGAGAAGATTGCGACAGGTAGTCGCAGTTTGCGAAACATTCGCGATATTAATTCTATCTAACCAAGAAAACTTACTAGACACCACACGACAATTGTCTTTTATTCATATAACGGGCAATATATCAACTTCATGAATAATTAAATTAACCATAGGCAGAGGTTACTTGCACAATTTCGAGAACAACTTCGCAGAGAGAAAGGCCACTTTACGAAAGATGGACAAAAAATTACTTTCAAGTTACAAAAGCGACACTTTAAGATGATATTTTGACAAATGTTTAAAGTGGAAATTATGAAATTATTATTAAAAAGTAAAACTACTTATAGAAATTATTATGTTTATATTTAATTGTGTGAAAAGATACGTCATCCCCTGTGCAAATTATATATCTCTCGTTTTAGATAACATAATGTTCCTTTAGGTAGGTTTTACCTACTAATTTCTCTATCCTTCGGGAACAGTTTTTTTTCTGGATAAAAGGTACCGTATGCCCTTTTCTGTACCCCTGATAATGCGTGTTCAAAGTTTCATGATAGGTTTTTCAGGCGGCTTCGCTCGCGTTGGTCGTAAATACGTATCAAAGATCACCCACGACCACATAAAACTAATTTTTCTATCTTCCAGGAACAGTATTTTCTTTCTGAGTAACAGGTACACTATGTCCTTTTATGTACCCCTAACAATGTGTGTACAAAATTTCATGATGATCGGTTGAATTATTAAGGCGTGAAATCGTAATAACCAAACAAACTCACATTCACATGTATAATAATAGTTGGGATTATTATCCACTGTTTCGAAACATCTTTAGTTTCATAGCGTGTCATTTCGCGTTACATACGTGATAACAAATTATAAGAGAGGCTTATAAGATGTATGTATAGACATTTATGAGTTGTCTGTATTAAAATAAAAACCTGTTAATTGTATCCCATAAGCGCGATAATTTAATATAATGAAGTTAAGTTTTTTATTGAAATGAACTGAAACCTGGGAGTTTGCTAATCATCGTTGAAAATTTGAGATATTTATAACAATGACATTAATTAATAACTTATACGAGTCCATACCTACCTATATCTTAAAAAGCTACGAATAAATAAAAGGCATTAATAAGGAGAATCATCAAAATCCTTTTGAGCAACATACCATTTATCATTTAATTAAAAAATACTTCTCGTGACTCGTACCATTAAATTTCAATCAATTCCGAGAGTGCTACTAATGTCAGAGATTGCTCGAGTAATACCTACCATTAAGGGCTCTATGTAGCACAGTTTTTTGCATTTTCCGCATCACGTGGTGATTTGCAATGGGAAAACTTTACTACCTATCTATCGTCATAAGGATGGTTAGTAAGCATACTTACACCGTACTATACGTTATCAGGCTTTCACATATTATTATTAGCATTATTACTGCGAGAAGCATACAAATGTAAGCTATAAATTAAGTTTCTTTTTAATTTTCTGTTTGCACAACGCTTTCTGTTGTCACACCGATGGATATTGATATTATCGATATGTGATTGATATTTTCAAAAATAGAAGCTGAAGACGTAGGCGATTGTGATAATTGAAAAATTGTACAAGCAAAAGTTAACTTAACTTTCTCTAGATAAACAGATTTTAGTTTTAACAACTTAATAAACAAGTATTGGTTTTTAAAATTACCTAAAAATTGACAAAATTTAAAGTACTTTTAATCATTCTACTCACAATGTTCATATTTTGCACATTACAGTTAAAAATTAATTCACAAGTCCACGAGAAAGAAATCATAAACAAAATTTTTAAACTAAAATAAAAATACAAGAATTGTCGTGCTTGGTATTCATACGAAATGTAGAAGTAAACAAATGTTAATTTAACCTATTTTGCCTTTGATAATATTCTATGTAAACATTAGTATTATGAAAGTAAATTTAAGTACAAGTACCTGTATCTAAAAAAATATTTACGACAAACTTTCCCAAAACTACATATCGCCTTAACAGTTCGTTATTATCATCAAAAACAAATAGCGTTCTTCAATCTACTTTTACTACCGGCTTCGCCTTCTTAAAATGACTCCACACCAACGTATTTATTAGTAATCACTAGAATCCGAAATCATTACTTTTAAAAGGTCATTTATTCCTGACAATGTTACAGGTCAATAACATCATTTCAACTGTTCCTTTTTTGTTATGCCTAATTGGTTATTTCAGTTTGATGGTCATCATCACTCTCTGATACAAAAACAACGACCGATCCTCGGCAAGTTTGCGGCTGTGCCGTTTCAATAGGACCATGATAAACATTATTTCGTTTACACCTTTAATAGCGGTTTTCGCAGGTATTCAATTTCGATCATGACACGTTTCAATAAATTTCTCACCAGAAAAAAAAATACCATTACAATTTGCTACCTCTTACTACAAAACTGAACTGTCAACAGAAGATGATCACCGTCAAATACGTAGGAATTTACAGTTAAAATTACAGAGAAGATCGTATTATTTTACTCAATAGTTGACTCATCCTATTTTAGTACGACTTTGGAAATCTCTATCTCATAAAGTTATTGTAACGGTGAACGATATATAAACAATGTATTTGAATAAATTAAGTTTAATGTGTTTATTTTCATTTTCTGACCTAGGAGCACATCTTTAATTCTACAACGGTGTGACCTACCCTTGGCTCACACAAAAAAAAGCTACCACATCCCTCGTATCCACAAAAATATTTCTGAATGTTCGGCGCTCTTCTATTCATGCACTTAGTTCTTTGAATTAAATTCATATTCATAAATATTCAAATTATTTTGTTTTTATTTGTTTGCGGTGTCGAGCCACTTCTTTCTCATATGAGGGGGCACACAAGTTTTATGATCGAAGTTTAAATGCAAATAATGTACTTCTATATACTGCACTTAGTAATATTTATTTACACTATTACACGCTGATATTCACGATTAAAAAATGCTGAAGCTGATGATTTTGATAAAGCAGTGTATAAATCAATGCAATCTCTACCCTGACAGAGGAAGGGGTGAAAGTGGTAACTAACTAGTATTCAAATATTTGAAATTCTTGCTTATAAACGTGTCNGATGCGTCCGCGTGGACAGCTGCTATACAATAATACATTTCCATTTACCTCCTTCTCTATATCCATACAAAATATCTATCAAACAAATAAAATTAAAATTTTCTTTTGAAAAATGAAACCATTCCATCAGTATTTTCTTATGACGTTGTCACGTTCAACTATCGTCAGTAAAACGACTATCCATCAAGTTGTACGCAAAAATCGCTGGTAATAACTAATGGTGCAAAATAAAAATTGAAATAGTCCAAAACATTTATTCGGTTAGATCAGAAATTTACATATGTACATTTAACAGAGTGCCACTGTTGGAAACGTTTCAGTGTTCAACATCCGTAAGGGATTGCACATGGATTAAGTTCAAGGGAGTTATTTATTGGTGGAGGACGAAGAGAGTTAACGAAAACACGAAGAGAAACTAAAACCCTTTGAGACTGTTATGATTTCAACCGAGTGGGTCGGAAAACAGTTGTACATCCGCTGTGGAAGAGGAAAGGAATACTTGTTCGGATATTTCGGGGTCGGTTGGCATTCCGCACGGTAATAGTTACGTACTAGGTATATACCTTCATACGTACGAATGTTGTTAATTAAAATGACTTTAATAGCTCAAATTGTTATCGAAGCGCTCGCTGGCGAATTTTCACAGGCGCTCGCCGAGCTAGAAGTAGCAGCGAGTTAATTAAAAGGCGTCGACGTTACTTGTTGATAACCTGCTCTTCTCGGTAACAGTAATCGGTGTATACCCCTACCAATAATCGAAGACTCGATATTAGGGGTTGTTTACAAAATACGTTATGCGTATTTTGACATTTAAGAATTAAAGTAGTAGAGTTTCTAGTTATATTAAAGGAAACGAAAGTAAATTTTTAAAAATATACAGAGATATAACTTATCTAAGATGTAAGTATTTAAAATGCAGATACATGATACAAAATATGTATTTTCATCTTGTATCTGTAAATCTTTTTGTATCTTGTATTTAAATACCTTTTCTTTGGTATCTTAGTATTTTGTAGGTACTATGTTTGCTAAAATACTTTTAGTAATATATAACTGATTCTATGGTGACTGACGTCTTAGGTGACATTAATTTTAAATGTCAATGTCGTCGTGGAAAAAATCGAACGCGCCATTGAATCTTTAGTCTGGGGTTAGATTGATAGAAAACAGAGGGATCTGCTGGCAGCACCGCTGACTTAGAAACATTACAATACTTAAAAAAAATACAACACCTGTTTGCCAAGTTCTGCCCCTGTGGAGAGACTCCTCTCATTTGGGGGCATGATCGTGAGCCCTCATTGAAGAAAAATGAGCGATAAACTTTTTGAAGAACTGGTTTTACATAAGTCTCAATTAAAACCTTATAAAAAGTATTCAAAAGATACGTATTTGATATCTAGTATTTCAGATAGATACCATTGCAGTTATTTGCATCTGATATCTGAAATACTTAATTTAAAAGTATTTTGCATTTTGTATTCCAGATACTTTATTTAAACTATCTTGTACATCACTAGAAATATATATTAATTGTTCACAACACTTGTTTCACCATAACATTGGCTTCTTTAGGTGAAGATATTCTGATTAAAATATAAAGACTTTTAGCTAGGTTTCATTTATATCTTAATAAATGCAATAAATGAAATATTTTACGAAATGATCAAACTGATGTAAATAGTTCTCCATTATTAAATTTAAATTTGTCTTCAAAAACATAGTGTCTTACCTTATCCCTTACCTTTTGTTGTTCCCATCCCATAAAATTTGTAAATTTTTAGTATTTATGCTAATTTTGAAACAATTTTAATCAGAACATCTTCACCTGAAGAAGCCAATGCAATGGTGAAATAATTAATATATATTTTTGAAACTTTTTCGTTTCCTTTAATGGATCATGGAGTTCCACCAAGTAAAGCCTTCTACAATTATTTGTCTAGTGTTTAGGTACTTAAATAGGTACCTTATTTTTCTACCTTTATTTTAATAAGATTATTTGTCTATTCTGTTTATTAGGTAGCTTGTCGTTAATAAAAAGATTTTTTTGTTGTGGAATTATTAGATATTAAACTCAAGAAGAAAATAGTAAAAAACTACAAAAATTTGAATCTGTAAATGTAAAATTTTAGGTAAAAACCATGTACTAATTAGTATAATATATTCACTTGTCCTAATTCTCGTATGATTGTTTTTATTTCCTACCGTTAATCTTAGAATGGGTTACTCGTTCTTTAAAAATTGTTTAGTGATAAATACTGGATCTTGTATTACTGGTTTGACTGTGTTTTAAAAATGGTATGGCATCGCGTTACTCCTCGATTTCATCGATGACAGCGTTCGTTCATTTGGGTCTCAAAATGAGCCTCGGTTAGAATGACTACCGAGTTATTATCCAACATCAGAATACAGAATGGGGGCTGAGGGTGAAAAAATACAATGGAGAAACATCGGTACGATGGAAAAACGGTTAACAAACTGTGATCCTCTTTTTTTTTATTTTTCAGTTAAACTGTTCGCAGACAAAACAACGCGATCATGATGAGAGCTTTCTCGTATAGATACATATATATATCGTGGAAAAAGGTGCCATAATAAACTATATGTACCTATAGGTATGATGAGTATCTCGTTAAAAACTAAATCTCTTAATTAAAATAAATTAATGTGAATTTAAAAATACCGTGTTAAATTATAAATTATTGATAAATTCACAGCGATTATTTCGTCACACAGTCATTTCTTCAGGTGGAAGAATAAACAAAAGTACGATTTTTCGGTGTATAAAAATTGTGTTAACATGTGACACTTAGGAAATTATTTTGTACTTGTATGATGAGGAACCATATACATACATATAGTTATCGACCATGCGTGAATTCAGTAGGAGCTCAAAAGCGTTGTGTGAGCTTTCTTTCGCTGTTCACAACATTAAACGGTTTCCCGATTATACTGTCAGTCGAAAAAACGATCAGTTTTTAAAAAAAATTGTAATTCTCGACATGATTCTATTGGTCACTCAAATGAGATTTGTATATCAATATTCAGTATATCAATAGTCATTCGTATACCACCTTCATTAACTTCTTTGTTGCAAAAAGTTAATAGAAGAAAAGGTTAGAAACGTTTGAAATGTGATGTTGCAGGCGAATGATGAGGATACCGTGGATAGAGAAGGTTAGAAATGAGGAGGTATTAGAAAGAGAAGGAGAACAGAGGGCGCTATGGAAGTCAATAAGAAATAGGCGAGATAGGTTGGTAGGATATCTTCTCAAGCATGGAGGGGCTAGTTAAAGACTTATCCAAGGAGAAACACGAAAAAAACTACATTTTTATGACAACGCAAAAATTACAATTTTCTGTTGTAAATGACTGATTTGACCGTAAAAATAATGGAATATATTAGATAGCAATCTCAATTTTGATATGTGTTTTCAAAAATTTTTACAAATTCGTGTCCAAATTGTAATTTTTATTATTTTCACTTACGAAGCAACGGGTTAGTGTGGGATAAATTGTAAATATCGCCTTAATATTTAGGTAAATTTTCCTTTTTCAAGGGATAAAAGTAGTCCTACAATAGATTACTGTTCCCAAATAGTTAAGGATGTAGGATGTTCTAATTTCCGGGAGATACGAAGATTAGCTCAGGATAGAAAAGAACGAAGGTGCGTGTCCAACAAGACTTAGTACTGACGATGTTATGATGATGAAAAAATTATTAATCAATTTCAGTAGTTCGGAATGCTTTTATCTATTTTTTGTTCTTTCGGTAAATTATTTTAAAGTTTAAAAGGCAAAAAATACTTTGTGCTACTTAACTCCATTTTTTCACAGTATTCCTACGTTTCGATTTTTTACAAAATATATTCATCAAATTCCTACTATTTTTCCAATAATTATCACGTCGAGAAAGTGGGCCGGAAATATTTTTAAACTTATACCTATTGNCAAAGACGGAGGCAAAGACAAACGCAAATTTCCTTCTAACTTCTTAAATTTATTTAAAAACGAGTGCTGTTCAAATTCGGGCCCAAATTGTAATTTTTATTATTTTCGCTTACGAAACAACGGGCTAGTGGGATAAATGATAAATACCTTTTGTTTAGGTAAATTTTCGTTTTTCATTTTCTCTGTGATCAGAACTGTGCCGGTCATTAGATGTCAGACAGAGTGAATTAATTTTTATATAATTAATTATTGTTTAGATCTATTGCTACATCTTCTTTAGTTTCTAAATCATACTACAATCTACTTCTTTGTACTTTTAAACAATGTTTATCTTTTAGTTTTTGACGTGCCATTGTCATTTTGTTATCAGGCGCTGGTACAAGGGGAAAGGCACAATAAAAAAAAATTTAAAAAAATTTAATTTGATATCGATGTAATACTTGCATTTGAACAATTCTGTTTGCCTTTTTATAAAAAAATTAAAACAAAAACATTGCGACGCCATTTTTATCATTAATGTCTAATGAAAATGTATTTAATCCATCGATCAATTAAGTGTGCTTCATTAGAAATGTTAGGTTATTACCGATCTCTGAAATATTTACTTTAGATATTTATATTTGTTAGTACAACGTATGTAAGAAATTCGTGCTTGAACTGTTCGCATTTTAGTCCTTCCCTTTGCCAAATGGATTACACTGAAATATTCAGTTTTTAAATGTCCTTTTGAGTTACGACGAGCGTCAAATATTTCAGTTTAAAGTGCAGTAAAATTAAACCGAAGTGAAACTTTATCGCATGCTTATATATCAGGTTTGGTTGTGTACAGAAGATGCGCGCTTTAAATTCTAGTGCATTCCACGACCCTGTAAAATCATTTAGAAATGCCATTCCATGGCGCGTTCCGTCAGCAGCGATCCAACAACGAAATAAATGGGTTACAAAATAATTACCGACGAGAGAATTCGAGTTAATTAAAAATGACATCGTACCGTCCATGATGAGTCTCTTCGCCGCAGTAATGTGGTCAGAGGATACCGGAAACGATTTTCCTGCTAAACTTACCGAGTCAATTAAAACAGATAACCGAAAATTTAGTTTCCTATCCACTTTACAAATTTAACTATTCGCAAGAGTGTGTGAGTAATAGCGAATACAAATTATTTTTTCTCTGTGATATAGATAAACATTGCAGAGGTGCTTCGTGATTACGAAAATTGTCCAGATTTTGAGAAAACTGTATAATTCAAGTTTTCTCCCTTCATGTGAAACCTTATAAAAGTGTGGCGAAATAACCGTTATTGTTTTATTTTTGTGTGTAAATATTTTTTTTTCTAATTTTTCCATTTCAAATAATATTTCATTTTAAATAATATTTCATTTCGAATATTATTTCACTTCAAATATTATTTCAATTCTTTTCAACTTCTTATCTTGTAAATACTTTGGTTTCCTTTCAATCTAAACTCTATTGTTCTTTCAATCACTTTTACCTGGAAATCCAACTTCAACCATACCTGCATGCACTCCCATACTAATATCTGGTTTTACCCTTAATTGCTTTCTCTTGAATTCTGTACTATCTAATTCTGTGTATTCCTAGAAACTAGTGTCTTCACCCTCTCTCTCACTACTTTTCCTTCTAGAACATTCTATCAAAATTACTAACAACCCTATCCTATAAATACTCTAAAATTTCTTATCTCAAGACAGTCTCTCGTCTACCGCTA